GGGAGGTGGCCCCGCTCTGACCCCAGCCTAAGCAGCCCCATACTAAGGGTGGAGGACAAGCCAGATGACCTCTCCATTCTACGACTTCCTGGCCTGTGAAAGCCGATCCGCCCTGCCCGAGCCCAGTCAGCCCGGTCTCACCAACTGCAGGCTCCTGTGTGCTCAGCGGGCATTCAGTAAATAGTTGTGGCATGAGTGAACAGACTCAATTGGGACCCCAACAGCCCAGTAAGCCCCAGAGCCTGCTGCCAAGTTCAGCCAAGGGCAGCCAGGCCCGTGGAGGTGCAGCAGGGGCTGGGGGTGGCACAGGCACAGCCCCCACCCAGAGGAAGCCGGACACCTTCCCTACTCTCCTTCGGCCTGCAGGATGGAGGACAGACTCCTCGGCCTTTCCTCAAGGTAGCGTCAGTGCTCACCCCATTTCAGCTGGGACTTTCTCTTCTCTCCACACCTCCTCCCCATACCCTCTTGATTGACACCAATGATGGCTCCGACTCGATTTAAAAATAGATATTAAGACAAGGAAGTTTAATTTTTAATGCTTTGGAAAGGAAGTGAACACAGAGCCGGCATTCCATCATGGCCATGTTCTGGGCTCTCCAAGTATCAGCCAGGCCCTTCATCTGCCCTGTGCCCCAAGCAGAGCTACGCCTGACCCACCCGAAGACTGACGTGCAGCCGCAGTCTGGGGAGACAGCCTGATACCAGTCTCACATCTGAGCACGGTGGGAAGCTTCTAGTGCCTCTTGCTGCACAGCTTAGCCTGTACCTGGTTTGGAGCGGCCAGGTCTGAACCCGTCTGGGCCTTGCTCAGACCCCTCAGTCTGCTCACCACTGCTGTTCTCAGACAGAAGCCATCACAGGGAGGACTCCTTGTGGCACCCCAGCCTGAGAGCGCACAGACCCCTGTCACAGGCACCACAGACACAGGGGAACCCCAGTGGCAATTATGAGGCTAGGCCCACAGCAAACACGAGCCTCCAGTGCAGCTGGAGGGCCTTAACCAAGCTGCCTGCACCCAGAGGACAAGTGAACAGTCTAAGGGGGGCCGAGCCACCAAGGCCTGAACCCACTTGGAGGAGGTTAATCAGCGCTGCCACCCGGCACCCTGCGCGTGGCAGCCCCGCTCCAACCTCTCTCCTGGTTCAGCAGGCACACTGAACACCACTTCCTTGGCTAATTGGCCTTCATTAAGGAAGCGATTCACAAGGAACAGACTTTCCAATGAGGCCAGAATGTCACTGCTCTGCCAGCCACGATTTAAAGTGATGGGACAGCTCTCCTGGTAAGCATGACAAGTCACCATTATCCTGAGTGGCAGTTCTGCCAGCAACCAGTCTCACCCCTGCCCCTCCATAATGGATAGGAACTGGATTTGGGTTGGGAGGAGCTGGGCTGGAAACACAATTTGCTGGGTGGAGAAGGGGACAGAGGCCCCAGCACTTAGAGCCCACCCTGGTACTCTCCCCTACTCAGAGTTAAAAGCTCTGAGCCTCCTTTGCTCTCCTGGAGGGGCTTAAATTCATTTAACCTCTACCTGGAGTATTACACCAGATGGCCCCATGAGGACTCAGAGACGGGCTGATGAGGGAAATGGTTTCTGCTACAGGGAGAAATACCTTGGGTGTAGGGCTGATTAGTGTGGACAGGCCCCCCAGGATGCAGAAACTTCTGTCCCACTCCAGGCCTCCAATATTTGCTGTCCACCAAGCAGCCAGCAGTCTCTCTGGCCTTGAAGATCGGGGTGAGGTATGCAAGGGGAAGAGGAGGTGAGGCTCAGTCAGGCATGACCCCTGACTACCCCTCCTCTACCCCTCCACCTACCTTGGGCATTCAGAAGTACGGCCCTGGGTGCCAACATGGCCAGCACCATCTGGTAGAAGTTGGCAGTGCCAGAAGCAGACCTGGACACCACCCCCTCCCCCAGCAGGCCAGCACCCAGCAGCCTATACGGCACCTGCCTTTTCTTGGAAAGGAGGAGTGCAGGGTGCACAGCTCCACCTCCTGGCCTGCCCCTAGTGATGTCACCCAGGCCCGTACCGATACTAATACCCTAGAAGCTCCACCCAGTGGCAAGGAACCAGGGATCCTCAGGCATGTGAGGGGGTTGCACTGTAAGACAGCTGCTCCTCTCCTCCACACTGGGAACCCTCCCAGCAGGGTCCGAGGGGGCAGGGGGTGTGGCAGCTGTGGTGGGTTTGGAGAACTACCAGATAGGCCCCAGATTTGTGGGAAGATCTCTATCTATTGATTGCAGTCCTCAGTTTCAACTCTAATGCCTCAGAAAAGCCTTCTTTAGGGATCTGAGCCCTGAGACCAGAAAAAGTGATGGCTACATAATTCTTAACAATTGCTCTGGGTCCCAGAGGACTTGGGCTCTGGGCAGCCCTGCATATGTCCTCACCCCCACTGTCCTGCTCACCTCCTGTCTCTCCCTCCCTGTGTGCACTAGAATAAAGCAGAGGTCTCCCAGGGGTCCTGCCTCACAAGCTATCCCACCTGCCTCTGCCTGAGCACCTGCCTGCAGGAAGTCTTCGTTGGAGTGAGACAGTGACCCACCTTGCACAAATCCTGGCCAGCCCCTGCTACCTGCTCTTCCACCACCCAATACACATAGAGCAAAGACTCTTACACACACCCATCTGTTTCCTTTTTGCTAGATTTTCTATCTTTCCTAAGGTCTATGTCTTATTTCAGCATCTCATATGCTACTAGCATAAAACAACTGGGTCTTTGAGAGTCAATTTTTCCCAGTTTGTACTATGCCACAAGCATTCCAAAGACATTAATTAAACAGAAAAATCAGAGACAAGGAGAGAGTGACTCCTTGTCTGATAAAGGTGGCCGTAGATACCTTCTAATTAGGAAGAGACACAGCAACCATCTTTTTACGCTCTGCCCACCTTCCAAGGGAAGATGGAAAGAGCTGCCTGTCGTTGCACAGTTCAGGTGCTAGGAGAGCCTTCATCACAGGCACGCTTGAGAACTACCTTCTCTTCCCTATCAGGTGGGACCTGGGAATCCTTGCCACACAATACAATACATACAATAACATGTGGATCCACCGCTCTGGCCCGCCATTCATTCACTCACAAACACATGAGTGCGTACTATGTGCAGGGCACAGAGCACTGTGCTAGCATGGGAGGAGGTCCCTAAACCAGTTGGGACCATCTCAGAAGAGCCACAGCCGTTATACCGACTCTGACCAGCAGGTGGCGGGGTGGGGGTGGGGAGGAGGGCGACTGAGTGGGAGGTACCGGCCCAGACTCCCAGTGTCCCTAGAGGGTCTGTCTAGTAAGTGTTAAGATATGCAGACTAGGGGAAGGCAGAAAGGTAAGAAAAGGTAGGTGGAGACCGGAAACAAGGGCTGTGAGAGAAGCTGTGCTCAATGAAAAGGCTTGTAAATCCATAGGCACAGAGAAACACATGCCTGGTGCTTGGCTGACACCGACGCCAGCAAATGAGGAACCGGAACACTTGCCCAAAGGCAGCCACAAAATCATTCTCGACATTCCAATGGTTCTGTCCCAGTTTCCACAAAACTCTCAGCACAGGATAACTAACATCTTCACAGCAGCAGCTGGAAGGCCCCAGACCACGGAGATATCTGGGAAAATACAACTCAAATTATCTGAGCCCAGGCTCCTGAGAACCTGGGCAGGGAAGGCAGCCTCTACCCAACAAGAAGGCAAGGCTACAGGACATCCCCTAACTAACGGGCTACAGACACAAGGGAGACCATCGTGACAGCCCCCACTGGACTGGAAAGGAGACCCGGACCAGAAGGGTGAATGATCTGCCCGAGGTCACACAAGACACCCACGCAGAACCAAACCTAGAATCGTCTTCTCCCCGCCAGCCCTGAGTTTTCCCCTCTGTGGGAAAGTTCCTCCCTGCACACACACCCAGAAAGTTTTTTCAGTTAAAGCAGGTTACTTCACACAAGTGTTGAACACCGAAGCACAACCACCTCTACCCAACTTCACGGGAACCAACTTCCTCCTGCCCCCACACCCCTCCCAGACCGGTCCGCCTCCAGCAGGCAGCAGGTCGGCCTGGGCCAGAGCCAAACATCTGGGCTGAGTCTGGGCTTGGGTGAAGAGAGGCGGCAGCAGTTGAGATGAAGAACAATTAGATGTAAATTTAAGAAGTTTTCAAATTCTCCTGACTATATTTCTTATGCGCCCCCATGTGTGTGCTCACATAGCCTCCAGAATCCCAGAGGACAGAGAACAAGTCCAAGCTGCCCCACCCACTGATACCTTCTCTTGAAAACAATCTCTCACCAAGGATGACGGCACTCCCCTTAAGGGCTCCCAGAGCCCAGAAGGGCTGGCATTCCACGGTGGGAGCACATGGCCAGCCAGCTCCCTGCCCAGTCCACCGCAATCCCTCAAAAGCAGCTGCCCGCCGCCCGATGGCAGCAGTCCTCCCACACTCCCCCTCCCACAAAGGCCCCAACCCAGGGGCAGGTCTGCGGGCAGGCAAGTGAGTCCCTTGGCCTCGGGCAGGGGCCCCTTCTCCTCCTCCTGGGCTTCAATGAGAAGAGCTGGGAGGGTGTGACCTCTACCACTCATCCACCTCATGCCCATAAAATGCTGCAGACTGTATTCTTACATATTCAGTAGGAATACAAGAAGAAACTCAGAAAACCATCCACACTTGTGCCTATTGTCAATTCAAGGTCACAGCTGTTAAAAATTCTGATCCCACACCTATTTTGGCAGGTTACCCAGTCAGAGACTCTTCTAGCATGGGTTTCTTACAGGGGAACAATGTGGCAGTAAACTTTGCCAGCCTCCCAGGAGCAGAGTAAGTCTCTTCTGGAAAACAGGCAAGTTGGAGCCTCCGTTCAGCCAGCAAGGAGAGAAAAAGGATTTTTTAAAAACCCCACTCACCACTGTGCAGAGAGCAGAGCGGTGCAGCTCAGAAAAGGAAGAGGGTATCACGGTGGGGTAGGAAAAGAGGAGAGGAGGCAAAGAAACGAGACGACTCACCCAGAATATCAAATTGAAGAGGAACATCATGTACTTCAAGCAGCAGAGGCAGCCCCTGGCCATGTTGCACTTCTTAAATTCTAGGAGGAAAACAAAGGACAGATCCAGGTAAAACACCACGTACTTGCTGCCTTTGGGTGTGCTGTACTTAGTCTTCACGCCGCCCTCGGCGCGGCTCTGGCCCCGGGAGCCCGCGGTGCCATAGAAGGCGCCGGCCGTGAAGCCGCGGCCGAACGGGCGGCCCGAGGTGGACGGCTTGGCAAAGTCCGAGTCCTTGCTGTCCAAAGATGGGCTCCGGTGGATCGAAGAATCCTCGCTACTCGACTTCTCCATGCTCGCGACGTTCTCGGGGGTCGCGAGGGGTGGGGGGCATCGCTCCCGGAGTGGGACGGAGGGGGCGCCCAAGTAGGGCGCGGGCTGCAGGCCGGCCGGAGGGGCCTCGCACGCGCCCCTCTGCACCCGGGTGCACTCCGGCCGGACCCTGGGCTCTCGGACAGCTCCCGCTCCCAGACGGCGGGCCCGGGGGGGCTCTGCTGCGGCGCGGTGCGGCGCCACGCGCGCTTGCGAACAATCTCCGGGGCTGGCTCGGCTGCGCAACCCGGCGTCTGTGGGGAGGCTGCAATTTGATTTCTCTTTCTACAGCTCGCCTCCCGGGTGCACGGGCCGCTCCGCGCGAGGCACAAGGGCGCCGGGCTCCCTGGGCACACCTCTCCCAGAGCAGCCCCCGCGCCAAGCCCGACCACTTTGCGGGCGCTCCGCCTCCTCTCGCTCCGCTACTTTGCGGAGCTGCTCTCCGGCCCCAGGCTGCCCCGGCGCGCGGCGGGCAGGGCCGAGATCCGCCGCAGCTGCAACCGCTGGGCTTTCCCTGCGAAATTCCAGCCCTGACTCCCGACTCCGAAATCGCCAGGAGCCTCCTCCCCGGGCCCTCGGCCCCGCCCCCTGCCATGGATTCAACCAATGAGCGCGAGGCCTGCCGGGGGCGGGTGGGGGGGTGAGCAGCCTTCCCCCTCCCCAATGACACATTATCTTTAATAGGATTAGCGTTCTGCTGTGTGCCTATACCAGTGCGCCCCGAGCCCTCGCTAAATGTCAAGGGCTCGGGAGCTGGGGATGAACCAGAACCTTCATCAGAAGGCGCCTGTCTCTTCTACGAGAGAAAAGGGCTGGCGAGAGAAGGCGAATGGCTGGAGGTACCAACGACCCAAGGAAACCAGAAGAAAGCGCTGGGGAGAACTGGAGGGGGAAAGCAGCGCGGCCCGACCTGGCCGCCGCCCCCTGTGCACACGGTCTCCGGGCTACACACACACACCACACGCTTCTACGGCGCGCAGGGAACACGGCACCGCAGAGCAGGCGCGAGGTGTAGGAAAGGAGCCCGGGGCCTCCGCGGGGCGCGCACCGCCTCCCCGTCCCCTCCGCGCGCACGCGCGCGCACACACGCGGCTCCGCGAGGCTCCTGCAGCTGCGCGAGCCCCCCCCTCCACGTGCCCACGCGGGATGCCGCGCTAGCTGGGACCCGGGCCGAGAGTAGGTGGCCGAGGTAGGATCCAGCCTTGCTTCTTGTAATCCTGCCTGTGCCAAGGATGATGGAGCGGTGCTCTTGGACACAGGCTGGGTCCTCTCCTATGAGGGGAGCACAAAAGGGGCTGGTCAAAGAAACTGCACGAAGAATGCTCTTCTTCAAACATCCTGAGGGGCCCTTGGTCGTACAGTAAAATACGGCACTTACGTCCCCTGGGCTCGTGCGTTAGGTGTGCATGCAGTGCCGACTTGAGGCTGCAACAGCTAGCAAACAGACTTGAAGGCTGGAGCGGTCTTTTCTGCCGCTGGCAAAAGAGTGCTGAGAGCCCCAGGGCAGGGCCAAGCCTCACCAGGCTCTGCGTCCCTGGAACCTGACCCCGGGCTTGGCCTCTGGGAGGCGCTGGACAGGGCTGGCTGGATAGAATTCCTGCCCTCCACAACACGTGCGTGTGTGAAATGGCCTCCCTGGATCTCATCAGGCATTTGCCTACACCTGCTATGTGCTGAGCATGGGGCCAGGGCCTTGAGGAAACAGATACAAGGTGTGCTGCTCCCTGCCCTTCAGACACACGCAGTCTAGTCAATAAGACAGAAGGACATTAATCACCAAGGCGACTGGCAAGAACAGAGCTATCACAACTGTCCGTGGCCAAAAGGGAGAGGGACATTAATTCCGACCAGGGGGATGTCAAGGCCCTCATCACAGGTCTGCTGCCGTGGCCCAGTGCTGGTGGGTCCGCATTCTCACCACCTGCAAGGCAGGCCTGCATCCTAGGTGTGTGAATGCTCGGGTTCCAGGGCCACTCTGCTTCCTTATTAAAGGGACCTGCAGTGGCTGCGCTCTCCTGAGCCCCTTCCCCACTCAGATGGCAGCCCAGTGATGAAGCCTAGTGTGCGTCACAGCGTGGCCTTCTGCTCCTCGCTGGGCCCAGTGGCCCTGTGGGTGCCATCTGCAGATGAGGGGAGATGTGCGGCTGGCTGCTCACGGAGCCCACAGCCACCTGACTCGTCCTCTCTGGCCTCCACTGGCTCCCAAGGGCTCACAGCTACTATGTCATTCTCACACCATTACTCCTCTGATGCAAGAGAAATCAGTTACCAGCTGGGCCAAGAGTCGGGTGGCCTGTTTTTCACTCTTCAGTTGTGTGATCAGGGGCCAGGTACGTTGCCCTTCTGCACTCCCATATCCTCTTCTTTAAAACAGGGGTTGATAGAGCCTACCCCCTAGAGGGTTCATGAGAATAAAGTGAAGGGGCGTATCTGAGCAATGCTGAGCAAATACGCTTGGCTGATTTTACTAGTCTCTGGGACTTGGTGTCAGCAAGGGCTCCCCACTGGCCCTCCTACCTTTTTTTGTCTCGCTCTTCTCCCCAACTCATACCTTGTTCAGTGACAAGAACCTCCCCATTGTCCCTGGATAGGTCCACCTTCATCTCTAACTATAAACAGATTTGTGCCAGTACCTATTTCCTCAGCCACTGAGGCCCCAGGGAGTCAGAGGTGAGGGACAACAGGCAGCTATGAGAAGAGACAGCTGCCCAGGGCAAAAGTTCTGCTCCACCCTGCCAAAAGGGCCCTGAAGTCCCACCCGTCAGTCCATTAACAAAGCTTCAGTGAGGGTCTGTCAGGATTCGTAAGTCCTCCTTATGTCCCAGGCAACAAGCTTCACATGCAGTAATTCCCTGAATCCTCATGACAACCCTAGATATAGGGCTATTATCCCCATTTTACAGATAAGGAAACTGATCTCAAAGCCTGTATTCTATACTCTCTTGGGCTACCTAATTCCTGCCCTTGGAAATCTTCCAGTCCAACATACCATCTAAAGGCACAACAGAGAACTTCAAATCTCATGTCCTGATGAGAGGTCATTAGCTAGAAGGACCCTGAGTAAAGAGCAAAAGGGCCATGGCCAAGGTGGTGCCCTGGACTGATAGCCAGTAAAGGTGAGTCCTGAGGAGATGGCCTTGACTTATCTTACAGAGGGCCGGAAGAAGGTAGTGGTGCAGGGAGCATGTAGTCTGCAAGACAGGGGCCAGTCCTTGAAAGGAGACACCTGGACAAACCTGGGCAAGCAGCTGAAGAAAGGCACTCTCAGTCAGCAGGCATCTGACCTCCTGAACCACCCACCGAAGACAAACGATGCATTCTTAACAGACTATTTTGCATGGGCAGTACACCGAGCAAGGACCCTGCAGGATTCAGTGCTGAGTGAGACACGGCTGTGGGCCTCACAGCCAGCTGAAGAGACCAACCCTCTATCTCAACTCCAAGACCACACCTAGAGAGGCTCACAGCAGTGGCGTAGCCAGCCTGCACCATGACAGCACTGGCCAAGAGCCGCCTCCCAGGCTCTCCCCTGGGAGGAGGGCTCTCTGGAGTGGCATGGCCAGGGGGAGAGGAGGACAGAGAGCATTCCAGGAAGGCCTGGGCACGGCACATTCAGGGGGCAGTGAGGAGACAGGCCTGCCTGAAGCAGGAGAACATGCATGGAGTCAAAGTGAGGTCCTGGGCAAGGCCACGCAGGACACAGGGAAAGGCTGGGCTTCATCCTGGAGCTTCCCGAGCCATGGAAGCAAGTGACAAAACCGGCGCCCTAGAAAGCTGGGCCTAGTCGCAGAGTGGAAAGGCATGATCAGCCACCGGGGTTGCCTCAATTCCTTAAATTTGGGTGCAGAAGGAACCACGACATGGAAAAGATGGTCTGGGACACCAGGTCTCCTGCCCCACTCCTGACTCCCAACAACTCACCAAGCTCAGGAGGGCTGGAGGTACAGACCGTCCTTGAGGATCTCTGAGCATGTGAACAAGGCAGCCTGCCTTTTCTTTCCTTTTTTATTTTTTTTAAACAACAGAAAAAGTGAAGCAAGTACAGAATTCCCAGAGGGGAGGAAAAGAAGTGAATATGTGAGTCAACATGCAACATCTCCACTGACTGACAACTGGGGAAATGTGGGCTTCAGAGTAAATGCCAAGCTTGCTTTGCCTCTCCCAGAATTTCTCAGGCTTGCAGTGTTAGACAGAGCTCAGTCTTAAGTCTCTCACTCAGCCACCCACAATCACAGGTGATGGACCAACACAGCCCCTTCTGACCTGCCCTGAATATTTCTGTATTTGACAATGTGTGCAGCTCATGAGGTATCCTGGACAGCTAAATTTCAAACAAGGCAGCTCCACCCAGAATTTACATTAGATACACAGTGGCACTTGCTATCCTAAGGAATGTGTGAAATGGGCTGCCATCCTAAGAGAAAGGAGACATACCCCAATTTTTAAACTCCAAAACTGGGAACTTCTTTGGCAATATAGAAAATGCTTTAATTGCTAACAACCCATTTATAGATGCCGCCAAAAGAGAGAAAGGCTGGAGAGGCCCCCAGGTGGAGCTACACTGTCATGTGTTACCACACTTGACCAGGATTCAGGGGGGACGATGATAACACCAGAGAGAAGGTCGGAGGAGGAAAGAACTAAAGGCAGTTCTGTTTGTGTCTTATTTGTTCAGTTTCAGAGACCAATAAGGAAAACAAACCGACAGGGGCTGCGGCAGTTGGAGGGTGCACAGCAAGGGAGCTGCTCGTCCAGCCTGCCTCCTGCACCCAGGCACCTTCTCCTCTGGGGAGACACTTGCTCCTCCCTCCCTCAGCCCCCAGATCTCTGTTCCAACTGCAATTAGTTTGCCCACCTGCCTCTGCTCTGGCCACCAGGCTTCCCAAAGGAGGCAGGGGCTCTGTCTTGAGGTCCCCAAGTGCGCCTGTCACAGTTACCACCACAGGGCAGGTGCTCAGGAAGTGGCGGGAGGTAGAGGGGGAAGCAAGTCCGCCATGCCTAAGCCCTGAACTCCCTCCACAGACAGCCTGGGAGCCCCAAGTTCATTAATCAGAGGATGGGATACAAACCAGAAATCTACACAATTGTTCCTAGAAAGCAGGCTATCTGAAGGCATCAGAACCTGACTAGGGAACTCAGGAAATTTAAATGTTCAGCTATAGATACAGAGTTTAAAGGTCAGCTGTTTGTTCACAGCCGTATCCTCAGCACACAGCACAACTGGGATGTAAGGAAAAAGAAATTTATGGGTCACAAGGCCATTTTGGAGGAAGACTCAGGAAAGGTAGGAGGTTGAACAAGAGAAGATTGAGACACAGCTAAGACAGGGGAGCAGCTGCTCTGGGACACGCCCACCCCCATAATGGGTGGGCCCTGCTTTTGGAGGAGCTCACCACCAGCTGAGTCACTGGGAGTTCTTACAGTCTCCCTGGCGCTGCGGGCACGTCTCATAGTCCAAGAGCGGGCTGTGTTCACCCCCCATTGGAGGCCACTCTCGACTACGGAGGAAACAGGACTGGGAAGAGACCCTCGGCTGAA